CATCCCTATGGAAGCTGCCTGGGTGATTTTGGACCAGCCACAGACTTTCTGCCTAACCTACCTTATAGCGTTACTGTACAGATCGCAAAGCCGAAGAGAATGAAGTAAGCTGCTTTGCTCCCCGCTAATGAGAAAGACAGAATTTTGCCTAGAAAGAGGCTGCTGAGAGGGGAGGAGATAAAGTTGCCAGCTTTAGGTATGGAAATTCCTGGAGATTTGAGGGGTGGAGCCCAGAGAGGGGACCTCAGATAGGTACAGTGCCATAGGCTCCACCCTCCAAACCAGCCATTTGCTCCTGGGGAACTATTGTTGCCAATCTTGGCCCAGCAGCCATCAAACCATTCTCTTCAACCCCCTGCTGTGCAGCTGACTTTCCCCTAGGGTTGCCAATCTCCAGGTGGGACCTGGAGATCTCCCGCTGTTACAATTGATCTCCAGATGACAGAGATCAGTTCCCCTGGAGAAAATGGCTGCTTTGGAGGGTAGACCCTATGACATTATACCTGCTGAGTCCTTCCCCCCCCCAATGCTGCCCTCCACAGGATCCACCCCCCAAATCTCCAGGTATTTCCCTCCTTAGAGCTGGCAACCCTACTTTCCCCTCAGTGCCTGTTGGTAGGCAACTAAGCTTGGTCCTGTCACCTATTTTGGCCTTTGGGAGAAAACACATTGGGGCCAGTCCTGATAGGCTTGCCAACTCCAGATGTGAAATTCCTGGAGATTTGAGGGATGGAGCCTGAAGAAGGTGAGGTTTGAGGAGGGGTGGGACCTCAGACAGGTATAATGTCATAGACTCCACCCTCCAAATCAGTCAGTCCCTCATGCGGAACCATTGTTGCCAATCTCCAGGTGAGGGCTGGAGACAACTCAGAATTACAACTGCTTTGCAGAAAGGAGGGCAGAAAGCTGAAGTCAAAGGGGCAGACAATGGTAGGTTGATGGTTAGCTGGGAAGGAGATGGGGTTACCAACGCCAGGCTGGTAAATTCCTGGGGATTTGAGGGGTAGAGCCTGGAGAGGGTGGGGTTTGTGAAGGGGTGAGACCTCAGACAGGTAGAATGCCATAGACTCCACCCTCCAAACCAGCCATTTCATCCTGGGTAACAATTGTTGCCAATCTCCAGGTGAGGGCTGGCGATCACTCAAAATTACAACTGCAGGTAGCAGAGATCAGTTATTCTGGAGAAAATAGTGGACTCTGTCATTATACCCTGCTGAGGTCACCACACTGTTTGCCCAAAGCCGGAGCACTCTCCCAGAGCCTCTTTCTAGATCTCGTTGTATTTATTTCCACAACGGACCTTATTCCTAGTTTTAAATAAAACTACAAGAAATCATCAAAATGCTCCAGTGTCAAAAAAGAGTGCTCAAATGTCTCAATTTCAAAGCCTGACATTTTGGGGCAAAACCCCACACACATTCTTTCTAAGAAGTTTCCTTGTCGGTACAAGGACAGGTACCAGGAGAGTGGTTAATAGTTTTCAAGCACCTCCATCTCGTTGATGGCTCTCACAGGCACCCAGGATTTAAGGCTTGGTTATACAAATGGACAGAACAATCAAAGGCCCATCTCCAGCACCATTACTTTGTACCCTTCCTCAATCAATTGTTGTGCAGAGCATGTGTGTGGACATCATCTTTTTAATAAATGTCTTACTATTTGGAATGATGGAAGTTTGTTCTCAATAACCATGATAAGTCCCACTCGAACACATTACTAAGAGGGCGCCAGGGGAAGGGAGGCAGTGGGACAATAGACTGCTAGATGTCCAGGTGTGTGTACGTGTGATAAGCTGTCCCTGTGAAGGTTAACTGGAGCCAAAGCAGGAGACACAGGCACTAAGGAGACCCTGTAAACGGCAATGCAGACAGAGTGCTAGGAATGCTGGCCATCTTAGCAGGAAACATTCTAATTGACCACTGGTGGCAACAGTATTTCACTGAAATGAGACTGCTCCCCATACAAAGAGGCTATGGGCAAGCAAAAAGGCCCACAAGAGAGTGTGACTGCCTCACCTGGTGCTGCATTTAAAGTAAACCTCACACCCTTAGGCTCCAAAAATCCTGGAAGGGTTCACTCTCATTTCCTGTTGCGACAGTGAGTATGCAGCCTAGTTTCAAACAGCCCAAGGAACAGCCCAATGGGAAGAAATTATTTACAGGCCCTGAAGTGGCCAAATTCTCCTTGAATGTGCTCTGAAGGTTGTTTCTACAGTGATTAATTTAATTTCACAACAGCTCTTTTAAAAATCAAATCTACACTCTTACAAATTTAATTTGCAGATGATGAAACAAAAGCATTACCCAGTAGGATGTTTCCCCCTACCCAGTATATTTCTCAAGAGTCAAAGTGGCCAACCTTCAGCCAACTTTTCTGTATACCCTTCCATTTCAGTATGAAATTCTTTAGTTCAGAACATGAAGAAGGGGCTGGTTTGCTTAGTTATTGTTTGACACAGCTCTGGTACATAGATCTATCATGCCCAATGCAAGTGCTTCTAAGACTTTGAGGCTTCCCAGTAGACTCATAGCCAAGTGGGAATCAGTTGGAAGTACTGACTGCATGCACAAAATTCTGGCAGCAGAACCCAATGTGATGTTCAAACAAAATGTGATGTGAAAAATCTGTAATCAGTACCTCCTTTTTTTAAAAAAAAAAAAAGGGGGGAAATACATATACTGGGGAAAACTTGCGTACCCATATCTTCTCCCCCAATAGCTCAGGATTGGCATTATTCAGCTAGAACAGCAGGAGATGAATAGGTTATAGCCAGTGTTCCCTCTAAGCTGAGTTAGTTTGAGCTAGCTCACAGTTTTTTAGCCTCCTGCTCCCACATTTTTGTCTTAGCTCAGGGAGGATGGCTCCAGAGCAAAGTAATTTATACAGTAGCCAAATCGCTTGCTCACAACTTTAATGCCAGCAGCTCACAAAATAGAATATTTGCTCACAAGACTCCACAGCTTAGAGGGAACATCGGTTATGGCCCTCCCATGCTGACCTCTGTGAAAGAGCGGTCCCCTCAGCTACATTTACAACAGCATCAAAAAGTCATCTGAACCCAAGACACATTATTAGCAGTCAATGTCTTCCCTTCCCCCCTCCTTTGCAATATGGGAGGAAATACTGATCTACCTACTATATTTGTAATTTGGCCTATTCCATAGCTACTGCATCAATATCCACATCTGTCCTCCAAAACCATGCACAATACATGATATTTTAAACCTGTAAGAATTATTGGATTCAATTTTGAATGGTGATTTCTGCAAATATTTTCAGAGGGTACACGTGTGTCTGCAGTAGAAGATTAAGATCCGAGTCCAGTACTACCTTAGAGACCAACAAGATTTTCAATGTATAAACGTTCGAGTGTCAAAGTTCCCCTCATCAGATACCAAAGCAAATAAGAAACCCCTAGCTAGAAGCGTACAAACAACTTCCAGTTTTTGGCCAGGCAAATATGGCCACCATTTCAACCCTCAGAAACCTCAGCGCCCAATACAGAAAAACCCACTTCTTCTCATATTCACAAATCTGTCCAAACTAGATTACTCACCTTATAAATTTAACTGCCAGGCCAAGGTCTGCTATACAACAGGTTCCATTCTTCTTCACCAAAATGTTTTTACTTTTGAGGTCCCGGTGAGCAATAGCTGGTTTGCCCTGAGTGCTGAAAATCTCAGTGTGCAAGTGGCACAGTCCGCTGACAGACGAATACGCCAGCTTCAGCATGGCTTTTGTATCTAAGGTAGTGGATTTCAAATAGTCATACAGGGAGCCATTCTCATGGTAATCTGTGATCAGATACAGCTGAGTCCAAGACCCTGTACCTTTAATGTCAGCAGCAATAAACCCTAGAGGGAAGAAGCAAAGGAGGAAAAAACCCATGAAAAGAAGTTGCAAATTCAGTTTCTTAGACATTCCAAAATAAGTTGAGTGGCCGTGGCTTTGTAGAGCATCTGCTTTGCATGTAGAAGTTCCCAGGTTCAATCCCTGGCATCTCCAGTCAAAAGATCTGGCAGTAGGTGATGTGAAAGATCTCTACCTGAGAGCCTGGAGGACTGCTGCCAGTCTGAACAGACCATATTGGCTTAGATGGACCCAGGGCCTGATTCAGTACAAGGAAGTTTCATGTGTCAGTGTTCATGTGTGAAGTCCTATGAACCAACTTATCACCCCTGACAATGTCAAAAACTGCCCTATGCAGTTTTCCCATCAAGTACATGGGCTCTACTAACAATCAGAACAAGTCTTTGTTCTGTGGCACCCTCAGAGTACTAGCAACAGTTTGCACCAAGGCACTAATTGTACTAATATACGAAGCTGCCTCATACTTGGCCAGACCACCAGTCTATTAAAGTCAGTACAGTCTACTTGGTGCTCCAGGGTCCCACGGGAGACAGTAGGGGTGCAAGCAAGCAAGTAAATACACCACTGAGCAACAGCCCCTCCCAAGGGAAAAGGCCTAACGCAACGGCTGTCCTCGGTTTGCAAGACCTGAGCAAGGTTGTCAGAGATAGGACATTTTCGTGGTCACCGATTCATAGGGTTGCCGTAAGTCAGAAGTGACTTGACAGAACCTAACCCACAAATGTCTGTCCTAATATGACATCTGGCACAGCTGCTGAACTCAAGACATACAATTTGAAATTTCTAAATTTTAAATTCTGAAATCTGATTTGGGGAGTTTGATATTTTGGGTGACTGAAATTGTACTTCTGGAGAGAACAGCTTTTCAGTGCCAGCTCACATATCATGCCCCTTTCTGTGAACTTTACTCAGCATGCAAAGAGTAAGACACCAGCAGCAAAGAATTTTGTACTGACTTGTTTTGAAATTAAGACAAAAATGACACTGCTGGGGGGAAAATCTTGCCAGCCTTTGACAGGTATTTCTGCATTAACCATGTTGTTTCATGGTGGCTTAAACTTATTCCTTTTATGCTCTTCTAACAGTTCAGAGTATATCCTGGGCAATATAACAGCTAGATTCGAGTCCTTAGGGAGCAACGAGATTTTTGGGGCATGAGCTTTTGCGAGTCAAAGCTCCCTTCATCAGGACTGCAGTGTAAGTAACTGTCAATTTCTGGTTGGATACTTAGAATCATAGGATCATAGAGTCGGAAAGGATCTCCAGGGTCATCTAGTCCAACCCCCTGCAAACAGCCTGATTAGAGCAGGGGAGAAATGATTACCTGGGGCAGCAAATCAGCATCTGCAGTGAGATAAGAATCCTCCGTCCCTATTTAGTTCCAGGAGAGTTTGTGAATGAACTCAAGTTCAGCAATATCCTCTTGAAGCGTATCTGTTTGAGGACTGCCATTCTTAGGTCAGCAACAGAATGTCCAGGAAGATTAAAATGTTCTCCCGCTGGTTTTTGAGTGTTGAACAATATACACCCTGATGTCCTGAGAGCCAGTTTGGTGTAGTGGTTAAGAGTGGCAGACTCTAATCTGGAGAACTGGGTTTGATCCCCCACTCCTCCACATGAAGCCAGCTGGGTGACCATGGGTCAGTCACTGTTCTCTTAGAACTCTCTCAGCCCCACCTGTTGTGGGGAGTGGAAGGGAAGGCGATTGTAAACCGCTCCAAGACTCCTTTGGGGAGTGAGTGAAGAGTGGGGTATAAAACCTATTATTATGCAGTTCCGCAGGGCCTGTAAAACAGAGCTCTTCCACCAAGCTTTCAATCACAGAGCCGCCCTCAACAACTGAAGGACAGAGAGCCACGTTCCCTGGAGCATTATAACACCCCTGGAGCCTTATAACATCGTTATGATGGACTATGGAAATCGGCTGCCATAAGTAACAGCAATATGAATCACTAGCACTTTATACTGTTAAATGGGTTGTTTAATTGTTTTAATTGTTCAATGTATTGAGTATTTTATGAAAGCCGCCCTGAGCCAGCTATGGCTGGGAGGGCGGGATAGAAGTAGGATTAAATAAATAAATAAATACATTATTATTACTCTATTTTTCTAAATCATTTTCAATTTTTAACATTAGCATACATAGTTAATAGTAACTAATAGTTTCATTGTTTGTTTTCTTTATAAGTTATCAAAGTACAAAAATTCTTCTTGCATGGCCCGTGTGTGGGTAAAGCAAAACAGTGATAAGGAACTTTTATTAATCAGTGATACTCACCCAAAATGTTTTCATGTCTCATCAGGACGGTTTGGTAGATCTCTGTCTCTCGAAACCAACTGGCTTCCTCTGTGGTGAAGAACACCTTGACGGCCACCTTTTCCCCACGCCACTTCCCCATCCAGACCTCTCCATAGCGACCTTTGCCAATCTGCTTCACCATCTGAATCTGCTTCGCTATAGTCCTTTGCACCTGTCACGTGCAAAACCATGGGTTCACATTAAATGCTACCTGAATTAAACAGTTCTTAGTGCCTAATGTTCCACTGCAAATGTACTTGACAAACTAATGCAGCATCGAAAGTCAGTTGAGATAAGCAGTTTTGCGAGACAATGAGGAATTTCAGACAGACTATATCATCCGGAAGAGAAATGGTTCCCAAACGGTTTCTGGTCTGTCAGTTCAGACAGAACCGTTTTAGAACTGGTTCCCTACCGGAATATATTTGTAATTTCAGACACAAACGCTTCTGTCCCGTTTAGGAAACGGGGTTGAAGTGTTTTACCTGTCAACCGCTTCCAAGTAGTCTTCAGTTTCCTCTTCCAGTTCCGATGCGCTTTTTCCCGCCGTTTTTTGCCTGCGCAGGCGATCTCCGGCTTTTTTTTTTTTGAACGTTCGCTTTATAGCGTTATAACGCTATAACGCAACAGCATTATATCAACCCCATTGACATGCCTGGAGTGTTTTGTTATAGTGCTATAGTGCTATAGCGCTCTAAAGCAAATATTCCAAAAAAAAAAAGCTGGAGATCGCCTGCATAGGCAAAAAATTGGTGGGGGGAAAGCGGGGAAAAGCAGTGCAGTCTGAAATGGCAAACCATTTCAGATCCAGCTCTTTACCGGAAGGGAAAAGCCATGTGTGAAATGGCAGCCCTATACCGGTTCATGACGGATCAAAAACGGTTTCAAAACGGGTTAAAAAGGGTAATGTGAAATTTCTCATTTTCTACACATAGTTATGCTTACATAAGCCATAATAATCACAATGGATCTTCTCTAAACATCACTGTGTACCCACCCACCACCACCTCACTCAGTAACTCTATCCACTGATTTCAGACAATGTAACCATTAGACTGAAAAGGTACCCTACTTTTTTCCTCCCATTAAATATTTCATGGAATACTGTTGGGATGTCAAGCAACACCACATTCATGACTGATCACAGTTCATCTGATGATCTGACCTCACTGAGACGGATCCAGAGGGTAGCCATATTGGTCCATAGTAGAAGAGCCAGATTCGACTCCGGTAGTACCTCATCTGACAAAATGAGCTTTGACTCCTTCTATCTCAGATCTTCTATCTCAGATGCTACTGGATTCGAATCTACTTCATTTTATTGAAAGAATGGTCGGAAAAGCCAGCCAGAAGACAGTTTACCCTGTAATGACCAAACTTGTCCTCAGTGTGGAGCTGCAGGAGTGTTTTGGGGAGTTTCTTGAACACACAGTCCTTTCCTGTGTGACAAAGAGATGTTAGCCCTGCAGAAACTGAGAGGACACAGTAGTCCAATTCTTTAAGTGAGCGAGCGAGCGAGTGAGTGAGTGAGTGAATGCCTGGAAGTCATGGATGACTTCTGGAGACCCCTGGTGAGGCTCGGACGTTTCAGAAAGGTGGCTTATTAATGCCTGCCTCTGTGTCCCAATCCCTGGTATTCCTTGGAGGTCTACCTTCCAAGTACTTGCCAGGGCCGACCCTGCTTAGCTTCCGAGATCTGACGAGATGTGGCTTGCCTGGGCTTGCCTGGGCTACCTAGGTGAGGGTGAGAGGACAACATGGCAACAGTTGTCTGTTAACCAAAATAATATAGACGGGGTTTCCTAAGGCTAGGAAACAAGAAAGCCTCTGGTACTGAGTTTATGAGGAAATGTCAGCACATATCTTTCAGGACACCTGCACTGTGGTTTTAGTGCCCCCCAAATGAGAGAGAACAGAGAGAATCTTGTGACACTTGAGACTTAACACCTTGTTTGTTGCTTTGGCATCTGCTTGGCATGCAGAAGGTCCCAGTAGTCGATACTGACCTCTATGGACTGATGATCTGATTTACTATAAGGTACCTTTATGCGTGCGTGGGCTCTGACAAAATGGAGATGAGGCAAAGGCCAAGTGAAAGAAATACAGTTGTTTTCCTGCATTAACTTGCTGCTTATAGTATGTACTAAAACCCTCAGGGGCTGAGAACTACAGCAAATTACCAGGCCAGTAGATCTGTCCCACCCTTCCTGTGAAAAAAGTACTGCAGATCTAGCCACCCCGGGTTCTCCCCAACGGTTCCGCTTGATTCAAGGGGCTGGGTTATACGTCACATTTCTGTTTAAAAGCCATGTATCTCGGTACCTTGTGCTAAAGCAACCTTCCACTAGCAACACTGAGGTGAACGCTATTTTGTTTTCATGCTGCGGTATTTTTCTGGAAGTGGTACTTGGTGCTTGTATCTATTAAGTCTGAGGTACTCCTTTCTTACCAGCAGAGGGAGCCCAGATCCACTTCCTGAGCTCTGAGATTGTTCAATGAGGTCTTTCAAGGATTCTCCCGGTGGAATATAAGTCTCGTCTTGCTCCAGCCCAATGCTGTAACGAGGCCGGCTCTCTTGCCTTTTATACCTGCAGTTTTACAGGAAAACAAACACATATGACTCTACCTCTGGGTGGTCACAGACATGCACACATAAAACCAACTACCTGTGTCTGCTTAATTACCTAGTCGTGTTGTGCTAAGCTTTTTCAAGCTCTGAGTTTCAGCAGAGAAAATAACAATGTAACAATTCTGTGAATTTGTTCCCAGTTCTATTAACTTCAACTAGATGTGCATTTGCAATGGAACTAAAAGCGACACATGGAAGCTGACTCTCATTTCAGTCCATTGTGGCAGGGCCAGCATGGGGCCGTGATTAAAATGCTGAATTGGAAATCTGAAAGAACATGGTTCGAATCCCTACTCATGCCATGGCAGCTCACTGGCTAGCCTTGGGCCAATTACCCCTCTCCCAGCCTAGCCTAACCCAGAAGCCTTGAGGATAAAGCGAGCAATATTGTAAGTCACTTTGGGTCCTGGTTAGGGGGGGGGGGGGAAACCAGGTAGAGTTATCTAAATAAATAAATCACGAAACAAAAGTTAACAGTTGCATTTGTTAAATGCCTCTTATCTTGTAATTACCACTTTACGATGCCACATGCTTCAGCTACAGGGCTGAGAACCCAAACTGGAGTATGCCTGAACGAAACTGAGTCAGTTCTGCTGTACCATAGCTATGCTTATTTAATTTTTCAGGGAAGAGAGAGAGAGAACGAGGGAAGAAGGGTACAAGGAAAATAAAGCATGTGTTGGGGGGGAAGACACAAAGAGCAAAAAGGGGAGGAAGGGAGGTAAGAAAAGATGGAAATATACTGTATAAAAAGTGGCTCTGGTGGGGACCCCTTGGGGTTAAAGGCAGGTCTCAAGTTTGAAAACGGTAGGATTAAATTACTAAACTGATATAAGCCCACGTTTTGTTTCAAGGATGGCCTGTCTTTGTATTTCCATGGACCAGTCTGCTATGGATATAGGTGCCAAGAGCACATTTGGTTCACCAGCCAGTCCTTCATAGGGAACAGCAGGTGGCAAGAACCAGTCTCCGGGGACTGAATTCGGCCTAGCTGACCAGCTGACGCTGCTGTCACCTGTCGTGGCAGCAGCTCTCCTTTCCCCATCCCTTGCAGAAGTCCTCCTTCTCTCCCGCCGTGTGTCAGCACCAGCAGCCCCCACCCGTCCCCCTCCAAACAGCCCTTCCCAGCAACTGCCTGCCAAGCCACCCAGAAGGATGGGCACGAGAGGGTGATGTTGGCCATCAGAGGTACCCGTACCCGCTCTCTTGCTCTTAACAGCAGGGTACCAGCGGCAGATGAAGTGGTGCCCGTACCCGCTCTCTTGCTCTTAACAGCAGATGATGTTGGAGTGGGATGATCAGTGGAGCTGTGCTGTGGCCAGGGCCAGTCCCCGATTTGGGGAGGGGGCTCCTCTCCTCTGCTTAACACCAGGCCCTCCCCCTTATGTCTCCCTTCCCATCCGCTGACCAGTGCATCATTCCCCCATCCCCTCACGCGCCCTCTTCCCACCTGCACGTCCCCTGATCCCTCCGCCACCCACATGCCCATCCCCTGATGATGGGTGCTGCATACGGCTGGGAGCACAGACGGCAGACTGCTTGCAAGCAAGAGGGTGGGCAGCAGCCGTGCCAGTGGGGCCCCCCCAGAAGCCCAGGGCCCCGGCAGCTCTCCCACCTCAGGCATATTGACCCTAACCCCGGCCACAGCCAGCCTCCTGAGGGAAACAAAGGGGAGCCCTGGATTTCTTGGCAGCAGCACAGTAAACTAGGGAATGGGCACCAGAAGTCATTGGGCCAAAGCCCCCTCTCTAGACTCAGTGGTATATGCGATCTTCACCGTTTATCTGCTTCATCGGGTTGAAGACCAAATACACAGAAGATCAAGTATGCAGAGACAGACAATGGAAAAGTCCTGAGCTCACGGAACCTACCTGAAGTAGCAGAAGAGGATGATAAAGACGAGAAGCACACTACAGACAGTCACTGAAATCAGCAAGACCTTGTGGTGGACATTTCCGTCTGCAAAATCTCAAAGGAAAAGGGGGGGGGATTTTAAGAAGTTGACAGTGGCTGTATTTATCTCATTTATTACAAATATTTGTATCTTACTTCTCCCATCTATTTGCAGCTGCTTAACTGTGACTAAAATCATAAAAGTGAAGCAAGGATACAATAAAAATCCACTAGTGTGCAGTGAAACAAAGCAAAACCCAGGTTTGAGTACCCACTCTGCCATGAAAGCTTGCTGAGTGACCAATCACACACTCATCAGTCTAGCCTACTAGCCTAATCCTTCACAGGGTTCTTGCTGTGAGGATAAAATGGAGGAAAGGGAAACCATGTATGCCACTTCGGGCTGCCATCAGGGAGCAAAGCGGGGTATAAATGAAGTAAATAAATTAAACAATTTAAAAGTGGATTTCTAACAGATACTCGCATCCCCGATTGCTTCCCTAAGACAGCCTTATATTTCTTCCAGAAGGCTTATCCAAGTGGCACATCGTCTGGTAAAGCTGGAACTGCTGGAACGGAGCAGAAAACTGTCTGCTTATTTCAAGGGGGAGGAAGGAGATTCACAGAGGGAAAAGCACTGTTTGGAAGTATGCAGGTTCCAGGCTAAGAAGTGCCCTGAAAGTTAAAACAGCAGCTTCTGTTAAGCCCAGAAAATAACTGGCAATGGGGCAAACACTAACATTGGGTGCATGTGATGGTGCCTCCTTGAATGCTAAAAAGCCCGCTACCATCCCAGCTGGAGTTTTCCAACCTTCTTCAAGGGAAGCCCCACGTAAAGCGCATTGCAACAATTAGTTCTAGAGATTAAAAAGGCATAGATGACAGCACGTAGACCCCAGTCTGGAAGCTACAGCTGATCAAAAGCGCTTTTCTCATTGCTTGCTAGGTGGTCTTTTTTTTTTTTTTGCATACCAATGCCCTGTTGAAAACCAAAGAAAAATAACCCTTGCCAAAAGTTCCCATATACCATCTGTGTGTGAGACTCCACAACTCTGATCTAGGCACCAGCCTGTCAAAGCTTCATGCCTGTTGACTCAGTTGGCTTCTAGAGAATACCCGACCTGTAATTCATTTACATGGCGAGGGGATAATCGAGCCATAAATCCTCGGAAGTCCATAAGCAGAGAATCAGTGTGCTGTCAGACTGACAGACTAGGATCTGGGAGGACCAGGTTCAAATCCCCACTCTGCCATGAAAGCTGGCTGAGTGACCTTGGGCTACTCACAGACTCTCTGCCTGACCTACCTCACAGGGTTATGTACGTTTCTGAGAGTCAAAGTTCCCTTCGTCAGATTCTCAGTTCCTGGAGTGGGAAAGCAGCCTTTTCTGAACCACAAGCCTACATTTTTGTTAACACATCCTACACTCTGATCTATCTGTTTCAAATAAGGCAGATCGGCTGTGGCCTGACTGCCTTAGGCCCTGGCTCTAAGCTAAAAGATGTGCAGGCCCACAAGCTGTGAGAACCTGAGCCTTATTGATCCCTCCTGGAATAGAGCTATTGCATTTCAGGTCCACCGGAGCGATGCGACAGGGAGGTCCCCGGGGGACTCTAAGCTTTCCACTCTGCAGCTTTATTTTCAAGTTCTGATTTCCTCTGCTATTTGGCCACTAAACAACATTTCCTCCCGTCTGGCTTCCCACGTGAGAGGCTAGCAAACAACGCATCACCTGATTGCATTGTAACCTAATGTTACCTGCTACGGGCGCATAAGTGGTGTAAACATTTGAGACACTGGCATTGCTTTTTCAGATCCATTTTGAAAGAAGACACTGGCACACTGTTCCCAGTTGGGAAAACAGTACTGTGTGGTATTCTCACAAGGGCAGCAGATTTGTACCTGAACTATCACTCCAAGCGAGGGGACGGAAAACTGAGAATCCACCGGGGAGAACACTCATCCCTATGAAGGAAGCGGCTGCTACTGGGGACAAAGGAGATGGGTGAAAAATGCTCTGCACTGTGGTTAATCGGATGCACGCTTCTGCTAGCAAGATACATCCAATGAATTCAGTTTGTGATAGACTGCGACATATTACAACTATGTACTTCTAAAAGGATAATGACCGTTTATAGCAGGACAACGGTCTTGCACTCATCCGTGCTCAGCCAGACAGCTTCAGTTTCACAGTATTAGCCAACAAGGCTCAGTTTGGGGCTTCCTCTTTTTTAGAAAATTCTGAAACAAAACCAAATGCTGAGTGCTGCTACTGCTGGGCTCAGTTCCGATCTCACATACTATGGAAAGTGCCATCAAGTCGTAGCTGATGTATGATGAGTTTTCAAGGCCAAAAGGTGAACAGAAGTGGCCTGCCATTGCCTGTCTTTGCATAGCAATTCTAGACTCTTTAGTGGTCTCCTATCCAAGTACTAACCAGGGGCCAAGTGCAAAGTGATGCACATTGGGCCCAAAAATTCTAACTACAAATACACATTGATGGGGTCCAAACTGGCAGAGACTGACCAAGAGAGAGATCTTGGGAGTTGTAGTAGATAACTCACTGAAAATGTCTAGACAGTGTGCGACTGCAATAAAAAAGGCCAATGCTATGCTCGAGATTATTAGGAAGGGAACTGAAAACAAATCAGCCAGTATCATAATGCCCCTGTATAAATCAATGATGTGACCTCATTTGGGGTACTGTGTACAGTTCTGGTCACCGCACCTCAAAAAGGATATTATAACATTGGAAAAAGTGCAGAAAAGGGCAACTAGAATGATAAAAGGGTTGGAACACTTTCCCTATGAGGAAAGGTTAAAACGTTTGGGGCTCTTTAGCTTGGAGAAACAATGGCTGAGGGGTGACATGATCGAGATTTACAAGATTATGCATGGGATAGAGCAGGTCGAGAAAGAAATATCTGTGAGAAACTAGTACTTCTCAGCCCAGAAGTAGTTATGCATCATAAAAACGTGTGAAAGAGCCCAAGAAAGAGATTTGTTGGGAGTTTATAAAGTGATGGCTACTTTTCACCTAAAATGTGCCCCATTGAAATGAGAGAGGAAGAAGAGCTGCTTTGCTATGCTCTTTGATTTTCCCATTTATCTCAGTAGATGAGCCACCTTTCTTACATGCCCAGGGTAATGCCGATTGCCACTTTCGGATCAGGAAGGAATCTTCCTCCAGGCCAAGACTGGCCATGGATCCTGGAGGTTTTCTGTCTTCCTCTGGACATAGACCAGGAGTTACTGGGGGAGTGGGGGGTAGGTGTGAATACCTTGCATTGTGCAGGGGTTGGACTAGATGACCCTTAAAGTCCCTTCTGGCTCTAAGTTTCTATGTTTCTGTCGTGAGCATAAAAATGTCTCATGCATTATGCCCACCACTGATATGTCAGTATAGAGTGACTGGAGTGACATCCTCAAGGGTTGATGGAGGCAGAGTTAAGCATGCCCAAGAGCCATGGACATCAAGCATTTAATAATAGGTTGAAGTCCCATTAATTTCTGAAGCATTTTGTGGACTGCACCCGTCATTGTCGTTGGTGTTGTTTCCACAATCCACTTGGATAGATGTTGCGAAGAAAGCTTCTTCCCCTGCACAGGTGCACTATAGGAGACGAACAAGGCTGGTGACTGACGGAATGACCTTGTTCTATCGAGGTAGAAGAGTATGGCTCTCTTGACGTCTAGAGTATGAAGACGGCATTCCTTGTCACTCGTAGGGGATGGGGAAAAGATACGGAAGAGCAATGTCCACTTGCAAATAGAACTCGGAAACAACCTTGGGCAGGAAAGAGACATCTGGGGCCAAGGTGACAGCATCATGGTGAAAAACCAAGTACAGAGAATTGCAACGGAGTGCAGACAATTCTCTCATTCGTCTTGCTGAGGTAATGGCTACCAGGAAGGCAGTCTTCCATGAGAGAAGCTGCAGACTAGACATGGCCATAGGCTCAAATGGTTTGCCCATTAATTTGGACAGTACTACATGTAAGTCCCAGGAGGGAGGGAGTCGGCCCACTGTAGCTGGCTTCTGACAGTTCAACAGAACAAGGTCTATCCTGTTTTTGAGCTGAGCTAGGGGATCCTCCACGCCTTGAGTTTGAGGTGTGGTACATTGTGATGAAGCACTCTGCCCTCCTGAGCCAGGAGGAGATCTGGCGCCTGGGGAAAATGTATGTATGTGTCCCAAGATTATGTGGAGTAGAGTTGGGAACCAGTGCTGATGTGACCACCATGGTGCCACGAGGATACACTGAGGTTGTTCCTTCATGATCTTGCTTAGCACTCTGGTAAGTAGAGGAATTGGTGGGAACAGGTACATGTGCCTGTGGGACCATGGGAACAGAAAGCCGTCCCCCAGAGACAGTGGGTCCTGTCCCGCCCTGGTACAGAACAGACGACACTTCACGTTCTGACACGTCGCAAATGCATCGATTTCTGGGTGACCCCATCTGTGGAAAATTGGTTGGAGGTAAGCCCAGTTGAGCTCCCACTTGTGGAGGGATGCGCCTCCTCTGCTCAGAAAGTGCACATGCACATTGAGCGATCCTGGCAGGTGAGCAGCAATGATGAACATGCCTCAGGACTGACACTCAGTTCAAATCTCCCGAGCCAGTCAACATAGTCCCCTGGACACTGTCCCGCCTTGCCTGTTCAGGTAACATAGTGCGGTGGTGTTGTCTGTCAGGATTGCCACCATACGGTGAGCCACGAGGTGGCGAAAGGACCTTAGGGCATACTGGATGGCAAGCAGTTCCAGGAAGTTGATGTGTTTGTGGGCCACATGAGGTTCCCATTTGGCGCCCACACACGCACCTTGGAGGTGAGCCCCCCAACCCCACAGGGATGCATCCATGGTCAGGGTCAGTTCAGGGCTGGGTGCAAGAAATGGGGCTCCCTGAAGGAGGCTGTCTGGCGTTTCCCAGCACTGTAGGGAATTCAGCACAAATAGCATGAACCGTTGAGATTGGGGCTGCCGCTGTGGATGGAAATATTTGAGGAACCACAATTGAAGTGGTCTCATCTGTAGTCTGGCGAAGACAAGTACTGTAGTGGTAGCGGCCATC